CCACAACCAAGTGTCCTGTGGAGAAGAAGACTGCTTACACCTGCTTGAATTAAGACAAGGTCAGGATTTGATCTGCATGGAAAGCATGTCTAATAAAGTACTTACAGTTCCTGGACAAGAAAAATGGTTGTTGTACCAGGTATGAAGCATTCTTGGTATATCTTTATAAGTAGTAACGGAAACCAATTAAGAAGAGATTATGATGGCTGTTATGCTTAAGTTGTGCGATGGCAGTCGTATGAATCGGAATACCCAATTTAGAAAATATTTGTACAGATTGAGATATGATAGTGTCATAGATCTTAAAGTGATTCAGCAATGGAAATACTGTATGAAGTTGTATGTTTTGCAATTGCGTAACTAACTTTTTGGGTGATTCAAGACATGTTTGAACGCATTCAACCAGTTCGTTTCGTTCTGTCTGGTTTATACTTTCGTGAAGGGAAAGAAGAAGACAAGTTTTCTTTAACAAAAGTAGTTTTTTTCAGTTAAAACGATTTTTATATATCGTACTTGGAAAATGACATACTTTTCCTGTATAATGATGTTTTGATGTCATCATCCAAAAGGATTTGGCTCCGTCAGTGACAAGAACCTCACAAGTTGCATCAGTACGTGGTCACCCAGAAAAGTGCGACAAAACTTTGAAAGTTACTCTTCTGGCCAGTGAGTGGAATTCATCAAGGGGGGGTTTGTCCACCATCAACAGACACCTTGCCATCCTTATGGCCAAACGTAGCGAGGTGCAAGTCACTCTCTTGGTCCCACAATTTGCTTGTTCTGAAGAAGAGAAGAGAGCTGCAGAAAGTCACAAGATTGTCATCAAAGAAGCAGAGAGACGTCCAGGCTATGACCCTCTTGACTGGTTGAGCTTCCCTCCGGAAGACCTGATAATTGACGTGGTTGTGGGTCATGGAGCCAAGTTAGGTAAGCAAGCCCAAATCATCAGGAAGTACCATAGTTGCCAGTGGGTACAAGTAGTGCATACTGCGCCTGAAGAGCTCGGAATGTTCAAAAACTATCCGAGAGCCATTGCCAGAGGAGAAGAGAAGACTACAGCCGAAGTAGATTTGTGTAAATTGGCAAATCTAGTTGTTCCGGTGGGACCCAAGTTGACGGAGGCCTACTCTGCCTATCTTCGCTCATGTGAAAAGCAGCAAGATATTATGTCGTTCACTCCTGGTACATTCAAAGAGTTTTCTACTCTAAATCAAGCCTCAGTTGACTCTGAAAAGTTTAGGGTGTTGACCTTTGGTCGTGGTGACCCTGAGGACTTCGGTCTTAAAGGGTATGATATCGCTGCTAAAGCAGTGGTTGAGCTGAAAGACAACTCCTACCATTTGATCTTTGTGGGTGCACCTGATGACAAACAGGAGGCAGTTACGGAAAATTTGTTGCAGAATGGTATTTCTAAACGTCAGCTGACAGTGAGAAGGTTTTTGCAAAGCA